CTCAACGATCCCTCACTCTTTAAGACTGATGTTTGTTATGTAAACGGAGAATGGATCAAGGCGGCATCGGGTAAGACTTTTGAAGTCTACGATCCAGCCACGGGAGACCTCATTGGCACATCTCCTGAGTTTACTGGTAAGGACACTGAGAATGCCATCGCTGCTGCAGCTGCGGCATTCTCTACTTTCCGGACAAAGACTGGCCGTGAGAAGGCTAGATTATTACGCAAGTGGTACGACCTGGTAATCGAGAACTCTGACGATCTTGCAAAGCTTATCACGTGGGAGAACGGAAAGCCGTTCGCGGATGCGAAGGGCGAGGTGACTTACGCTGCTAGTTTTTTTGAGTGGTTTAGTGAGGAGGCGCCCAGAATATACGGCGACTCGATACCGGCTACCGCGCCAGGAAACAGAGTTGTGACTATCAAGCAGCCCGTTGGTGTTTGCGGTTTAATTACGCCATGGAACTTCCCTGCTGCTATGGTCACTCGCAAACTCGGGCCTGCTCTAGCGGCTGGCTGCACCGTCGTTGTTAAGGCGCCTGGAGAAACCCCATTTACCGCCCTCGCCTTGGCCGAGTTAGCACACAGAGCCGGAATTCCGAAAGGCGTCGTTAACTTTGTGACAACCTTAAAGAACACACCTGAGGTCGGAGAGACACTGGCGACTCATCCTACCGTACGGAAGGTGTCTTTTACAGGATCGACGGCCGTAGGAAGGCTCCTCATGAAGCAGGCTTCTCCAACCTTGAAGATCCTGTCTATGGAACTGGGAGGTAACGCACCATTTATCGTGTTTGACGATGCCGACGTCGATGCGGCTGTCACAGGTGCTATCGCCTCTAAATTCCGCTCGTCCGGCCAAACTTGCGTGTGCGCCAATAGGATATACGTCCAAAGGGGTATTTACGATGAGTTTGTGAAGAAGTTTGCGGAGAAGGTTAAGGAATTCAAGGTTGGCAACGGGTTTGACGAGGGCGTCACTCACGGACCTCTAATCCACGACCGGGCTATCTCGAAAGTAGAGGCTCACATTAAAGATGCTGAGAAGAAGGGAGGTAAGATAGTTATTGGGGGGCAGAAACTACCAGACCTGGGAGCTAATTTCTACCAACCTACCGTCATCACGGGCATGACCAAGGACATGGCTATCGCGGGTGAGGAGACCTTTGGACCGGTGGCCGGACTATTCCCATTCGCCACGGAGCAAGAAGTAGTAGATTTAGCAAACTCCGCCGAGGTTGGTCTAGCAGGCTATTTCTTCTCGCGGGACCTGGAGCGGATCACTAGGGTGGCTGAAGCGCTAGAAGTAGGAATGGTGGGCGTCAACACGGGTCTGATTTCAGATACTGCTTCACCGTTTGGAGGCGTGAAACAATCCGGATTCGGCAGGGAAGGATCTAAGTATGGTATTGACGAGTACTTGAACATCAAGACGATAACGTGGGGAGGCATGAATAAGCCGCTGCAAAGTTGAATGTCTGTTACGGTGTAACTAGCTAATCTGTAATACTAGCGATGACGGTTAGAAAAAGGAAATCAAAAAATCTTTGTTACATGAACTCGAATACAACATAATTAGATGGAGTCATATAATTAATTAAAGGCAGTTTCTGTCGATAATATGTAATATGAAGCTAATACAAAGCTAATACAAAGCTAATACAAAGCTGCTCTAGCTATCAGCACTGGAAAAGGAGAAAGCTGAAAGTGGATACTGCATATAGTCATATCTATCCCACTTCTGCCCTCGCTTAAACGCATTAAAATCAATAACGTAGCACCGCCAAAGCTTCGGAGAATCTAAATCTCGAAAATTTCAAGATAACCTCGAAATCAAACTGGCCTTCAACATCACACCGCAATTGGGCCCGCCATGATCCGGCATCCGCTAAACTCGACAGTCGGCCGCACCAGGCCAGACCTGAAACGAGTCACCGACGGCATCGCCGCCTCCCTGCGGCAATTCTCCGTCTCCGCGCGTCGGAGCGCCGAAGACGACAACAGCAACAATAACGATGACGATCGTTCACAGAGACCTTCTGGTCGTGAGCGTTCCGTAGCTGCCGTAAACGAACTGATTGCGACGGTGGACGGTGTGATTGGCTCATCGAGGCCAGTCTATAATGCAACAGCGAAGACTCCATCTCCATCTCCTGACCGAAGTCAGGGCCCTAACATCATCACCTCGAAGAACCTACCCCGCGGTGGCTTTACCGGCATAACGAGGGTTCCCATATCCAATGGTCCGAATATTATAAGAAGCGACAACTTCCAACCTCGCGGCGGCTTTAACAACATCAGAGGGGCTGGCGCACCTTCCGGCATGCCGCCTCGATTAGGTGCAAGTAATGGTCCGACTATCATACGAGGCGGTTTCCGCGGTCGCGGAGGAGGAGGTAGCCTCCCGTCCCGTGGCGGGGATCCACGATTTGGCCCTCTACGGCAGGGAGGGCCGCGCGGCGGCGGTGGGGGCGGTGGTGGTGGAAATCGACGTCCAGACGACCGACCACGCCGAGGACGAGGATCCCGTCGACGAGGCGACGACGACGAGAGAGGCGTCAAGCGACGCGACGCAGAGCAACAGGCGGACGAAAGCAGGCAGATAACCACCCCGAGCATCAAAGCATACCTCGAGGGCAAAGAAACCGGCCAGACCATGGCCTTCAACCCCAGCCTCTCTCTAGCCTCGCTCGCAGGCTGGGGCCCGGCGGTGGCCACGTCGTCCACGCCCTTCGGCCAGGGCGAGACGGTCCTGCGCCAAGCGCGCATCCTCGGAGGCGGCCAGGCGTTCCACCCGCAGTACCTCGAGAAGCCGCTGTCGCTGCATATAGCGTGGCGGGAGGGCAACGGCGCGTTCGTGCCGCCGTCGGACGAGGCGCGCCTGTGGAAGAAGCAGGTCCTTAAGGACAGGCCGTTCGAGGCTCCGGCCGAGGTCAAGACTGCGGTGCTGGAGGACGCGCTGATGGGCAAGTATGGCGAGGGGCCTAAGTACGCGGATCCCGAGGATACGATTGGTACGCTGCGCAGCTATGTCCGGAGGGATGGCACGTGGAATGTGCATGCGGAGAGGAGGATCGAGGACAAGGTTCGGGGTCTGCTGGGCCAGTCTGTTCCGCCTGCTGCTGGGGCTAGTAGTAGTGGTGGTGCTGCGAATCCAGAGGCTAAGGCTTGATTTATCTGGCACCCTTCCTTCCTTCCTTCTTCCCTCTACCTACGCTGTTCCGGTGGGAATTAGGATTAGGATTAGGATTAGGATGGATGTATAATTCAAGGCCTTTAGATTCGAGCTTTGAACATAAAATGTACCGCTACCACACGACGCATGTAACAATAACAGATAGTTTATCATACATCTGTGCTATACGGCTATTCACAACATACCTCTGCTGATCAAGCTAGGCCATAATCCCCCCCTATTTACTTCATGTCAACAATGACCACCTTACCTACCTAGGTACCTACCTAGGTATCAAGTAATACACTAGCCCCCCCCCTTAAACAGGCAAACTCTTAAGCGCCTCCTTCTCCAAGTCATCAATCTCCACCATCTTAGCCTTGACAATCTTATCCAGCTCCTTATCCGCCGTCCTCTTGAGATCAGGCCCGATCTCATTGGCCTTGCGCCACGTAACATGCAGCTTATCGCGTTTCTGGCGCACGCTCCTGACCCTGTCCCTCCAGTCATTGCACACGGCCTTGGCGCGCTTGAGCAGGTCGTCCCGCGTCTCGGGCTCGATCTTGAGGATCAGCTCGAGCTCGTTGTCCGGGTCGCGCTGGGGCTGCTGGTTGAAGTCCGCGCTGCTCTGCACCGCGCTCATGATGGGCTTGACGTACGCCGCCTCGTGCGCGATCAGGCTGATCGTCCGCCCCCCGCGCGATATCACCTGCGCCACCTCCCGCAGCGGGTACGTCACCCCGGCGTCCTTGCGGTCCGGCTGCACCCGCAGCGCCCCCACCACGTCCGGGTTGAACCGGCCCCCCGCCCGCAGCTTCTTGAGCAGCTCCCGGTGGTGCTCGTCGTGCCGCCGCATCCGGGACTCGACGTCGGCGAAGTTGAGCGGCTCTTCCGGGTTGGGGGTCGGGTGCTTGGGCCCGTTGGGGTCGTCGCCATCGGCGTCCCCGCTGCTGCTGCTGCTGCCGCGGGCCGCGGGTGCTTGCTTCTTGTGGTCGTCCCGCGCCTTCTCCTTGGGCGCTTTGCTCTTCCACGCGGGCGAGGTCGTGTGCAGGGCGCGAAGGTTGCTGCTACCCGCGGGGTGTGGGGGTAGGAGGAGGATGCATGGGCGAAGGTATGGTGAGGTGATGGTGGTGGTAGTGATGGTGGTAGTGATTACATCGTGGCTGGTTTGGAGAGTGTCAGTACCTGATGTATAATGCACTAATATATGTGGTTATTTCGAATTGGGTTAATTGGGAAGACTGACACTCTGCCAAACTCAGGACGAGCTCGGCTTTGTCGTAGCAGTGCTCTGGCAGCTGTGGCTCGCATTGTGTTTTTCTTTTTCTTTTTCCTTTTCCTTTTCTTTTTTTCTGTTGACCTTTGGCTTTTTTATGTTAACGGTAGAAAGTGGAATAGTTCCATCCGTGAGCTAAATTTTAAGGTTGGATTCAAAGGTAGGGTGAAAGTTGGAGTTGAGCTTGCGTTTGTATATCATTCTAACCGCAGTTATCGATAAGAATTGCCCGCACTCTTACGACTCTTCGTGACATGCTGCCTTGGACGGTTTCGATTTGATATTTGATGATCTCCTTACTTTTTGTCCATTCTAATAATATATTCTAAAATACTTGATCATATATAATTATAGTTAAGCATATCTCATCTTTGTGTAATCAGGTAAAGGTAGGTAGCCATGTTACACCGTATTTCGGTGGGGACTCTTGGTCTTAGCGCACTAAGTTCACATAGTTAGATCCCCCGCTAGCAACTTAGCCAATATAATGTATTCTAAGGCACCGAAATTTCATCCGAGGATGTGGTTCTCACAAATCACATCTCAAGGTCAACTGGTGTAGTGGTCATCACGTCTGTCTTACAATTTCACTGTATAGTGTATTGTGAGGACACAGAAGGTCGCAGGTTCGATCCCTGCGTTGATCAACTTTTTGCATATTTTCCATTTTATATTATATAACTACCAAATGCGATCTTTTCATTTTCCATCCACAACCTACTAACCTAACCTAGCATTTTCTAAGGCCTTCATTTGTCCTATCCACTAGTTCCTACTAGGACTGTAACTAAGAAAATAATGAAGCCATTATATACAACCGTAAGGAAACGATATATTTGACTATTCATATCGGCTTTTATGATGCAGCATAATATTTCGAGACTTAATATTTAAACACCTAAACTTCTCTTCTCGCAAGATAGTAGTATATAGCATACAAGGTCTGAGCCCCCCAAGATTAATTCTACACAGCAGCACGGCCTTGCCAGGGAAAGGAATAATATAGTCTACGTAGACGCCTTAGCCCTCTTCCCCCTTTTCGCGTTTCTACCCTTTTGCCTACCAGCAGTTTTCTTGGCGCCATTGTCCTTATTCCCATTCCCCTCACCACCAGCGGCGTATTCATCATTATCGTCATCATCATCAATCGTAATCACATTCCCGGCCTTCCTCTTCCTCCGTCCAGACTGTTGTGGAGCCGGCGCACGACTTTCGTCTTCTACTTCCGCTTCTGCTGCGGCAGAGGTAGAGGTAGAAGCACCCCCGACCACGGCATTTGCGCGCAGCTTATTAACCGCCTCGGCCATGCGCTTGCTCCCCTGGACCCTCTGCCTCGGAGCAAATGCTTCCTTCGCCCCGACACCAACGGTGCCCTCGAAGTACCTCGTGATGTTACTCTGTGTACCTTCGGCCTCCCGACGGTTCATGTCCCTAATCACCGGGACAAGGACTTCGTCTGTTCGTTCCTCACTCCATCCGATTGTGCTCATTAGGAATTGTCGCAGGCCTGCGACGTCGGGTACGCCCCATTGGAACTGATCTGGGGTGCTGTCGACCTCTGGGTGTAGATAAGCATCATAGACGGCCATATTGGGGAAGCCGGGGGGTAGGAACAGCTTCGTAGCCTGGGATTTGCGGAATTTCCTTCGGAAGGTTGATCCCTGGTCTGCTTCCTTTGGTCGGTTGTTAATCTGGACGTCCTGCCACCACTCTCGAAACTTCGTGAGCCCGTCTCTACCAGGAAACTCGGAAAGAATCTCGACGGCAGTTACGGGACCGACTCCTGGGAGACCCTCCGTGTAATCGGAGCCAAGCAGCTGGGCCAAGGAGATTAGTTGGTCGCGAGAAAGTGATAGTTCCTTTTCAAGATCAGAACCGAGGTAACATTCGACGAATTTGTTGCTGTTGAACATGTTTTTATACACTCGTGTACCGCCAAATAAAAAGGTATCCGAATCGTCCGTCACTATACCATCGACCAGACCGAGTTTAACCAGCTCGGCGCATTGAGCTTCTGCTTCCATTGGCGCGGTGATGTAAGGAATACCAAAAAATCGCAACAAAGCTTGACATTCGGTTACCATGATCTGAGTAACTTCATCCGCATCTCTTCGATCCTTCTTCTGCTGTGTTCGTAGCGCCTTGAGCTCTCGTTCATAAGCTTCTTGGTTCTCTTTCTCGGATTTGTGATTCAGCTGACTAGCAAAGCGTGCGTGCTCTTCGGCTTCTTCGGCCATTTGGGCAAGCAACTCTTCCTCTTCGGGATCGCTAAATTCATTGTCGTCAAACTCGGCATCGCCAAAAATCTCGTCGTTAGTGGCCTCAGTTACAAGCCCTGATCTATCAGGCGACTCAAAAGCTTCCGGCGCAGGCACATCAACGTCCTCAAAAGTAGGCTCGAGGGATACTGATTTAGGAGCGACAGGATTGCTGATGGGTTCTTCTGGGGGCTGTAAAATCTCAATTTCTTCAAAATCCAATTCCGGTGAAGCTGATTTGGAGGCTAATTTAGGACTAGGTACCGTATCATCAATTGCCGCGGCTCGGGAAGCAGCTTGCTCTTGTGCGTCGTCTGCGCGGCGCGTGCCCTCAATCTGGTCTTCCTCATCGGGAACTGGGGGATTAACTCTTGTTAAAGTAGCAGGAGATAGTCGATCCTCTTCCACATGTGCAGGGTTCTTCTGACGCGGCAACGGGGGTGCCTCAATGATTTGAATATCACTTTCGTCATCTGATGACTCGATCTCAATAATTGCATCCTTACGCCACCGTCTTTCTTCTTCGAGTGCAGCCTCTCGATCCTGCTCGTTAATTTCATGCTCAATGGCTCGTCGTGCCTTTAGAGATTCGCGGATGTCTGATTCATCTTGCATCATCCATGGCGGTAGAGGACGCGCTGCTTCACTTTCTTGTACCTTGTCATCAACACCAGCACCAGCATCATCGCCGTCGTCTCGTATGAAGCCACCTGCGAACTCATCAGACGCTAGTTCTTCTCTAGCCTCCTTCTCAACTACTTTTGTAGGTGCCTTCTCTTTATTTGCAAAAATACTAGATTTCCAGTCCAGTTTTTCGAACGGCAAAGGCCCATCAAATGGATTCTTTACATTTCGAACCGCTGGTGCGGGTTGGGGTTTAAAGACTGGTGCTTTCTTTTTCCTTTTGGATAGAGCAGCTCGTAGATCGACTTCACTGTCACTACTCTCGTTGCCATCTCGACATATCGGCGTGGGCTTAGTTATTGCCGCGTTAGCTCTGTTGTTCACAATGTGCGCGATCATATTCCCGCTTGTAGAGGCGATCGGCTTTGGTCCTTCGGTGGCTTTTTGTGTCCACTCGGGAGCAGGAACATCCTCGAATTCTCCATCCTCGAATTCTCCATCCTCTTCTCCCCCCTCTCCCGGTGAGGTTGCTCTATGCTGGTTCTTTAAAGACAAGGCGATAGCTCGGCTAAGGTCCTCTTCCTCATCGTTAATAAGGATATCCTCCCCATCTCGAAGCTCAAAGAGATCATTAACGCTATCCCCAGCGTCCCCTCCAACAAATAAGGACTCATCTTCGCCATCAGCAGGGGTATCTCCCTGACCATTCTGTAGCCTAGTTTCATATATTTGTCGTCTTCGCACCTCGGCATCATAAGCAGCCCTTACTTCGGGGTCCACTCTTGGTAAACGATTTATACCTTCGATAGGTACATCTTCGAAATCATCGTCATCCTCCCAATCGTCATCATCTTCCTTAGCCTGGTACTGGAAATCTAGGGCATCAACATCAATAGGTTTGTGTACCTCCCCACGATCTTTCTCCTTGCTAACAACACCAAGGGCCCATCCACCCTCGGCCCCTTCATTCTTTACCAGGATATATTCGCGGTCTTTCTCGCCTGCTATACGCGCATTTTTTGCTAGAGTAAGATCAGTTCCGGTCATTCCGGCTTCCTGCATGAGTCTTTGCGTTAAATGATTTCTCTCCCGTACCCTCTCGATCTGAAACCGGGAAAATGCCATTCTGTCAGGGAACATGCCATCCAATTGCTCTTTGCTTAAACCCATTCTCAATCGACTTCGTATTCTCGCTGCGTTAAGGATATTATATCTATCGACGGGCGGTAGACTCTTGAAGAACTCGCCCTCGAAGTCGATTTTGCTGAAGTCGTAGACGTTGATATCTTCGCCACTGTTGAATTGCCTTGCATACTCCTCCAATTCCTCTATGCTCATAATGCGAGGATCTTCCGGTCGACCCATACCCTCGATACCTCTATCCAAGTCCGGTAAGTGATAGGCATCTTGCTTGTAGAATTTCCTACTCTTCTGCCGTTCGGATTGGCTCATTCCTAGCTCATCTACGTAAACCAGCTGATCTACATCGGGAAGCTCTTCAACAGGTTCGTCTACTTCTGGTCTTCCCTCTGCTTCACGCTCTACTCTCCTCCGGCGCTTCTCACCCTCTTCCTCTGCTATCCGGTGCATCTGCACGGCCAACAGCTTACCAGCCGTACGGACCGCATCTTCTCTTCGACCTTCCCGTCTCCGTTTTCGGTTTGTGATAGTTTGGCGTTTTAGGGCCGGGGCACCACCATCAAACACGAAGACGGGTTGAATGCCGAACCATAGTAGTTTGCATATGCGGCGGAAGAAGCCGACAACGTGTGAGTTGCGCAGAGCGTTTCCTTCTTTATCGCGAACGGCTTTGAGAAACTGATATATCCAGATGGATGCATCGACAGCGAGACGTTTACGATTTAGGGTGGCGAGATTCGTTGGGCGGGCACACGGCTGCACCACAGTCCAGAGCCCGTTCACACCCATGTCGGCGTGGGACTCGCACGATCAGTGAAGGTAATTTATTTGATGCTGTAGAATTGAAGTGAAGCCTTCATATATAATGGAATTGAGATTGCATGGTTACCAGTATCCATCTAAGCGGTGTAGATGGGGTTCAAATGGACAAGATAAAAGAGATTGTTGTTTCCTGAAATTGTCATTTGAAGATAGAAACGATGATGACGATGACTCGACGCCGCACCGCGACAATATGTAATCGCGTCTGGAGCTCAACTTACAGGGGATCCCTGTCATGTTTAAAGTGGTGACAGCTGCGAGTTGCAAGGGTCAAAGGTGCAGCTCTCTATCGATAAGCCCTATACATTCTGCCCCTCTTCGTACATATGTACCTAGGTAGCTTCTTCGCAGCTCTTCCCTTGAACACAATTGAAGACATTAACCTAGTCTAATACCACCGTAAGATATATCAGGGCTACCTGTTCTCTATATTTATTGTAAGAGCATGGAAAACGATATTGAACCGGCAGAAGCCGAAACATTCCTCAAGTCGCTACTCAATAAGAACTTGCGCATCTACACCACAGACGGGCGCATCTTCATAGGGAACTTCAAGTGCACAGACACGGTTCGTCACCTTCCTATGCATGAATGACGCCTCAACCATATAGGTGCCATGCTAAGACACACATCCCTCCAGCATAGCAACATAGTCCTATCGCTTACCTACGAATACCGCGAGCCGTCGCAGCAAAAACTAGCCGAAGCCAAAGCCGCGAGCTCCGCATCCGGCGCGGATAAAGTAGCGTTGGATATGACGTCGCGGTACCTAGGCCTCGTCGTCGTCCCCGGGGAGCACATCG